GTCACTGTGGTTCTCACAGTGGACATATCAGGGTATAAAGGGCTTTGTCTGAGTTTCCCATTGTCTTCTCCTTCCCATTCTGCTCACCTTTTTACTCTCTTTCCTTCTGTGAACCCCCAGCTCTCTGAACTCCACCTGCAGGATTTAATGAGCAGACACCTCCCTTATAACCCCTTTCCAGTACTCTGTGTGATTAAATGCTTTCCTGATGTGGCAAATAACGCTTTTTAAAATGTGGCAAGTCTTTGGGCTGGCAAAGCAGAGACTGGTTCTCATTTAGCAGTCCTTGTGTATGGCCCTTGGTGTTGGGAAAGCTGCCCTCTGTCCCCACGGAGAACTTGATCGCTCAGGTTCTCTCTTGTGTAATCCGCGTCTCCATGGGGCCTAGTCTCTTGCCCACTTCCCAAAGGACCGCTCTCGTCTTCATCCTTACCTGTGTAAGGTCTTTGGACTAAAAGTTTCCCCCAAGCTGCAGCAGGTCAGGGAGGAGAGAGGGACATCTGTTAATCAACACAGTGGTGAGAACGGGGACATTAGAAAGGGCGTCAGAAAGCACAGCTGTTGAACACTCACCCTATACCAGGCTCTGGCCCAGGCATTTCGGATTGTATTTTCCCCTTTGCTCCTCACAACAGCACCATGGGGAGCAGGTGGTAGCTTCATTTTTCAAAGATATCACACCACTTGCCAGAAGTACACAGCTGGTGAGAGGTGGACCATGGGGCTCATACCCAAAGGGCTGCTGCTGAGCCCTCTCTCTGCAATCCTCAAAAATGCTGCGTTTGTTGTCAGGGCCTGGAAAATCTTTCCTGTGGGTAGTGGCTTTTTCTCTGAAATTTTGGACAGCTGGGGCTTGGACTCTTGGGTCACGGGTGGTGTCTCCCCAAAATGATACATGTCACCTCCTTCTCCTTCCCTCCTCCAGGTCACCATGGAGTAACAAGTATGACCCTCCCTTGGAAGACGGGGCCATGCCTTCTGCTCGGCTGAGGAAGCTGGAGGTGGAAGCCAACAATGCCTTTGACCAGTATCGAGACCTGTGAGTTACTTGCTCCCAGTGCACTCGAGCTCTCACGGTTTGATACGTCCATCATAAGTCAGAGTGGGCCAGGCCGATAGACTCCCTGGAACCTGCTCCTTGGCCTGCCTGGCTGTTTAAAATTCTCTGCGCCCAGAGCAGATGCTGGGCACCAGTTTTCCAGCTGGGTCAGTTGGGAGATGACTCGGTGGTAGAATGCTATCATACGTAGATTTATCTGTGCATTGCTTCATGCCATGGTTCCTGGTAACAGCAGGTGCCGTTGGACAGCACCTAGTGTGTGTGAGACACAGTGCCAGGAATTTTCTACAGGTCGTCTCAAATGCCCACAAACATGATGGCTGTTTTAGTTCCCATTTTTCAGATGAAATTAAGGCTCAGATAAAGGTGTTTGTCTCAAGCAAGAGGCAGAGCCAGGAATCAAACCCAAGGGTGTCTTCAAAGACCCCTCTGTTCTTGATCATACTGCATGTCTGACCCAGTTCTGACCTGGTGCTCGGGGGTCTCTGCTTCCAGACCAGGCACCAGGGCAGGACGAGTCAAGGTCCTTAACACAGTGGGAGCTGACATTTTGCTGGCTCCTAAGTTGCTCCTCGGGAGGTGGTTTTGCTGGTTCTGGTTAGATCCCTACCTCTTCTTTCCTCTCCCATCCAATCCTGCCTCCCATCCACCACCAGAAAGAGTGGCCACTTAATCTACCAGCCTTGCAAGGAAAAGCTCCAGAAAGGTTATTCTCTTCAGTGTTCTTTTTTAATCAACAGGATCGCATTTTCACTTAAGTTCTATATTACATAGCAAAACTGTACACATTCAGTCACCTAGAGAGGGATTGGCCAGCTTTCCTATAAAAGACCAGATAGTAAAAATGTTAAGCTCTGCAGGCTACATAAGTCCCTGCTACTTTCTTTTTTCATTTTATGTTACCTTTTAAAGGTGTAAACACTGCCCCTTGAGCTTAAGGTGGGGGCATTCCACCCTGATCCAGGACTTGGACAGGAAAGACAGTGAAACAAAGCCACCGAGCCCCGCGCTGTCCTGGAGCAGAGCTGCTGGTGTCGCACTTGGCGTGGGAACTTCAGGTCTCCCCTCCCAGATGCTGGAATGCTCTTGCAGCTCACAGCAGATGTGATGGAACACATTTCGTAAAGAATCTCTTTCAGAAGCTGGTTCAGGAGGAAAGGTGGCATCTCAGCCCGACACACAACCCTACCACCTTTCAGCAGATGAATGGAATTGAAAGGCACAGCCATGGACAAATGGCCCTTGGCGTTTCATTTGCCCTGAATGCACTCTGTGTAGCCATTTTATCTACGTTACCTTGATCCTTTTGAGAACCTCTGGGGAACATACTTTAGCCCGTTTTTAACAGATGAAGAGACTGAGGCTGCAAGAGGGTAAATCACTTGCACTAGGCTGCAGGACGTTGAGGTGAGAAGCTAGGATTTAAATTCATATTTGCCTGAAGTTTCCACAGATTATTGCTCTTCACAGTTGCTCTTCAATGTTTGAAGAGCTCTCACATCTAGAACTTTGCCCCATGGTAGAATAGTTACTTCTCCAGTGGGGCTGAGAAGTTGACTCATTGCTGTCTCATCATTTATTTGTAGTTGTTGATTATCTTTTATCTGACCAGTTGGCAAGAAGCCAATCCAGTTACTAAGAATTTCCAAGTGGAATCAGTTTTATATTATAGTGATGATTTGATAATAAAACAGCACTTACCCTCCGGTGACCATGCGAGCACTGTGTTAACTGCCTCACAATCTTCTTTATCTCATTTAACCTCCCAACAGTCTGTGAGAGAGATTCTCCCTGTTTTACAAATGAGTTGACAGATTCAGAGAATTGAATAACTTGCCCAAGTTCACACAGCCAGTAAGTGGGGGGACTGGACTAGGAAGCCATCCTGATCCAACTCCAGAGTCCATTTACTCGCCTGGCATTTGAGTTCTTGCTATGAGCCAGGTACTTGCTAAGCAGGGGGTACAGCCTTGAACATGGCCAGAGCTTGTCCACAGCTGGGTCCAACTGTCCAGCGCCTTCCTGGGCAAATGTCCACTTTTCCAGTGGCTTTAAAGCTTTAGTGGCTGCATTTCTGTGTGCCTTTGAGTGTGCCTACACTCTCCTCTGAGAGTGAGCTGATCTGCTGGGGGGAGTAAAGGGGGTGACAGGACAGCTTCCTGTACCCACGTGGGGTTAAATTGGACAAGGCAGACCCTGAGGTTCCGTGGCAGTGTGAGATTGTGGAATCAGCCCGGAGGGTGTTGCTCTGTCCCCAGCAGTGTTGGTGTGCTGCTTCCAGGGGGGGGAGGAGAGTGCAAGGCCTCCGAATGGCACCCCCAGAGGGGGTAGGGGAGCCTGGTTCTCCCATGTGACAGCAGCCACGGGCCACTGGAGGGATGGTGGTTAGAGCTGTCACTGGGGACCCAGAGTCATCAGTGTTAACCCTCCCCTTCCCCCCAGTGTTATCAGCGTGCACTGGTGAGCGCTGTCCTGAGACCGAATGTCAGGAACATTTCCCCGCTGGGCCACACATGAGCCAAACCATTTCTGGGTTTGAGTTGTTGTGGTCACGTTGGTGTGCGTGGTGGGGCCCAGAGCATGAGCTCTTTTCCCCGTGGTTTCGGAGCAGACGGGAGTCAGCCAGGGCCTAGGATGCCTTTCTCTCCCTGCCTTGAGCAACACAGGCTCAAGGGTTTTTTACTCTGGGTTTTCTAGGAACCACACTATTCCATGGCTGAAGGGACAGTGGGTCGTGCCTTCTCTTTATCCTCATCCCGCCCCACCCCAGTAGAGACTCAGTTTTTTGCCCCAGTGAATGAAGCCTCAGAGCTCTGACATGGATTTGTCCATCTGTCTCCCTTTCACGTTGGCAGTGGTCTAGGCAAAGGTCACTCTGAGGGGAGGCGTGCCCTCTCCCCAACCCCATGCCATGATGCTGCCTCAAGTCTGTTGGTTTTGGTCACTCTGAGCTGCTGCAGAAGGGGCCAGGAGATGGCATGTGTCCTGGGCCTGGTGACAGTAGCCCAGGGCCTCGGGCAGCCCACCTCTACCAGAAGGAAAAGGGAGTAATGGAAAAAGCTGTTGCCCCGAGAGCAGGACTGGCACAGCATAGTGCCCGGGAGGGCGGATGAGGGGGCTGCCCACTCCAGACTGGAGCCTGGCCTGCGCCCCACAGGGATTGAGGATGTGAAGAGCAGACCTGCCCCCCATGCTCTCTGGGTCAGCGGTCACTAACCGGTGGTCTGCGGACCACTGGTGGCCCATGAGGTCCGAAAGGTTGGCGACCGCTGCTCTGGGTCTTGACAACCCAGGTGTTTCTGAATTCTTGAATCCTGATGAATGGCAGTTAGGACTGGGCTTATTCTCTGGCCCTTGACCTCTCCCCAACCCCCTCAAATGGCTGAACCCTGCCGGATTCCAGCCACGTTGGGGCTCAGAGTCCTTTGTGGCAAGTGCTGTGCCGTAATGTGCCTTCAGGAGACTTCTTGTCCTGTGGTCCACTCTGAGGAAGGGCCTTTCCCTGTCCTGGGAGGCCCAGCTGGACTCAGCTCACACAGGAGGCCTGCTCTCTCCTGCCCTCCCTGCCCCGCCCCTCCTGTGCCGTAGAACTGAACTTGGGGGGATTTTTGTTGTCACCAGTAAATAGGCAGACACCGCTTCAGCCAGCACCAGCTGTGTGTGCGCACTCGCACATTGGTGACACGGCACCCTGGTTCCCTTCCCTCCCTGCTTCTTGTGGGTCCGTTGGCCTTGCTAACTCCTGATGTTCTCCGTAAGAGGATGAGGGAAGCGGACCCAGTGAGCGTGCAAAGATTTGGAGCTGAAATTCAGGCCAGCATCCTGCTGGAGCTGTGCCAGCTCTTCCCAGGGAGGGCTGCTCACTGTCCCCCACAGGCTTCTCTCTGCCATGAGCAGCCTGGGGAAGGCCTTGGATCTGTCCTGGGCTCTGGGCCTTGCTCCCCGGGCCTGTAAAGGCTCTGACTTTGCAGGGAATTAGAATTAATTGTCAGCACATGGAGCTGGTATGGTCTGGGTGAGGGAGCAGGGCCAGGGACGGATGGACTAGCAGGCCCTCCGGCTCTTTACTCCTATGGGGATGTGGCACCCCCTCTTCCTTGCCTGCACAGCATGTCTCCATTATGGAATAAATGTGCCAGCAGTTGGGGGCAGGACGCTTTCCCCAAGGTGGGCAGAGGTGAGTAGGGGCCCGGAGACACGAGCTGTGTGTCCTACACGATTCCTTTGAAGCCATCCATTCCTTGTCATCCTACTGCTCAGAGCTCTCAACTGCACCCTCAGCACCAACTTCCGCCCCCTCCCACATTCATCGGGGTTTTTGTTTGCCATCATTAGTGGCAGAAAGTTTCCATGGTAGTAACTTCCCCCCAGGACGATAACTGTCAAGCAACTGTTAGCACTACCCAAACAGTCTGTTTTTAGATTGAAATAGTCAATTTGCTGAGGACAGGCATGTTTTGCTGCGGCTGGGTTAGGTCATTATCTACTCTGAAGTCATCTTGAATTTCATCACTTCCCTCCCCCAATCTCTCCCATCCTATTCCCCAACATTAGGCTATTCTCGTTTTTCCCTATCAAGCCCCCAGATGGCTTTCCATCTCTCATTCTCGGGCCTGGCTCAGTCTAGGGAATGTCATTAGAATGCAGCCCTGGGGTCGGTGGAATAAGGGCACACTCTTGGGTGACTGGTTCATGGGATCACTTCTTTCTTGGCAGAGTTGACTGCCTTTTCGGGCCCAAAGCCTAGGATAGCTCACCAGTTCTAAAACCTCATCACTCGACCTAAGTGATCCATCTTTTTTGAGAGAGACTTAGCCATGGGGCCCTCGGCATGTGGTAGGCGCTTGAAGCTGCCGAAAAAATATCTCACTTGTGGTGTGAGGCACCAGCCGGCTGCCACAAACCCCAAGGTCAGTGCTTTGATTTTTCAGGTTCCCAGAGAAGACAGGAGCCTTGTCTGCTCCGGCTTTCATATTGTG